GGGATTGACCGTCACATTATAACGCCCCCACGGCTGAAAGGGCGAGCATGTTTGGTGTGATGGGGATTCGAACCCGCGACCCTCAGATTGCGAGTCGGGTACCCTAACCACCTGGCCAAGCCGGGCCCCTCTTTATAAAGAAAAGTATTATCGGGATGTCGATGGAAAATACGCTAGCGCTATAGACCACATTTTATGTTTCTATAGCTTAAAATGTTTTCTTCTGATTAATTTAAAAGTAGAAATTTGATAAAAGTATAAGATTGAATTCTGAGAAAAACGCATTTTTAAACCTCATATATATTTTTGAAGTAAGGCATGTTTTAGAATAATTCAGTCAAATACATATGACATTTGTCTGGCTGTTGAGTTTTAAATTCAGTATATATATATAAATATATGTGTGAGATATAATCCCGTTTTTAAAGCGTGCAAAAGTATTCACAGCAAACGAATCATCATACGTTTTACGAATTTTTTTTGTTCAAATAAAATGTGTAAGTTGGTTTACTAACTATTAAAATTATTTGAAATTACTTGGAAAGTTTATTTACAAGATTTTACAAAAAGGTTTGTTTATTGTTCGGCACAAACTTACACAAATGGGCTATCTGTGCTTTCCCACTCAGACGTATCTCTGAGCCACTGAGGAGAAGGGCTACGTAAAAGATGTAAACAGTATATTTTGATGATTATAGCTTACAAGTTATTTTTGTTTGTTTGTTTGTATTTAAGCCCAAACCTACACAATGGGCTATCTGTGCTCTGCCCACCACGGGTATTGAAACACGGTTTCTATCGTTGTAAATCCGCAGACATATCGCTGTGCCACTGGAGGGCAATTATTGTCATTTTAAGTATAAGTTTAACAAAAGTTTCCAAATTAAAATTTAATTTTGTCATTCGTAAATAATTTGAACATGGAAAAACTACTGAAAGCATGTTTGTTTACTTAAGAAATGAGAAATGAGTCAATAAGCATTTTATTCAGGAAAAAAAAAACACACACAAAAAACCATGATAAACATCAACGGCACAGCGGTATGTCTGCGGACTTACAACGCTAAAAACCGGGTTTCGATACCCGTGATGGGCAGAGCACAGATAGCCCATTGTGTAGCTTTGTGCATAAATTCAAACAAACAAACAAAAACATCAACATTATAAAACGCGAGAAAATATTTCCGTATTCAATTTTAATAATCAAATGAATTTTAATATATTTTCCGTTTATTTCAGTGAAGCAGTAAAAGAAACTCGAACGTGAATTCTAGCTACATTCTATCCTTACGTTCTGAATTGCCCAACTTTTTAATATTCAATCTGCTATATTCACTAAATGTGGGTTTTCATTTTATTCAACCATAGCCCCCTAGTGGCACAGCGGAATGTCAGCGTACTTATACCACGTGGTGGGTAGAGCACAGATAGCCCTCTGCGTAGCTTTGTGCTTAACTACAAAACAAACAAATCATTCAACCAGTACTACACATTACAGTCTCTCTCTCTCTACTTGCCTTTTACAGCGTAATTTTTCATTACATATCAGTGGAGTAGGTGTGAGGAGGCGGGGGTAGACCTGTTGCCACCACATACCCCTGTAGACTGACAGTCGGCGAGCGGCGTGCTCTTCCTTAAATCTTAGGAATTATAGTTTATATATATATAACTTCAAAGGCACCAAACGACCGGCTTTTCTCTCTTTTCTTTTTCTAAAACACGAGATTTAGGTATATTGAAATATTATAGGGAAGGCGGCTAAAAGATATGGTTCTACTCCATTGCATATTGTAGACATCTTACTCTCCAAGAATATATAAGCTGGTCCTATTCCCATGTAAATCGCCATAGTTATTTTTTGCTTTCTTAATACCTTACAACCTTACAGAATGTCCATCAACCATCAGACTTGCAATTCACTACATATTGTGATAGCGCACGACTTTTCTACCATACCTTTCACCAAACACGTCGTCCTGAGACCATGAACATTGCTTTCCAGTAATTGTTACAACCGAGCATACTGTCAAACACGTCGTCCTGCAACCATGCACATTATTTTTTCAGTCATTGTCCCAACAAAGCACGCTGCCCACGTCGTCCTGCGACCATGCACATTGTTTTCCAGTAATTGTTCGAACAGAGCAAACTGCCAAACACGTCGTCATGCAACCATGCACATTATTTTTTAGTAACTGCTCCAACCAAGCACACTGCCCTCTCCAACTAGATATCTTGTTCACCATACTCGTTAACCGCGGATGTTTTTCTTACTTTCTACTCGTCTTATTGACTACATCTTAGAAAGATATACATTACATATCATCTCCAAAAGACATAATGATAATGTTGTATGAGTTTTACTTTATATAAGAAGACACAGTGTTTTTACTTACCTGAAATTGGAATTTTCTTCCAACAACTCTAAAGTGCTGCGTTCCGGAGGAGTGAGGACCTTATCGATGATGTGGAGGACTCCATTCTGGCCTTCATTATCTGATTTCGTGATTACTGCCGACTCAACTCCCACAGCCTACATGAGAAATAAAACAAAACAAAAAACTTAATATTACAATAAGACAAACATTTCGAAAATTCATTGAGTCACGTTTTTAGACGTGAATATAGATTTCATGCCGATATGTACACGCTAACTCCATTGTTAAGTTTGACTTTCTTATTCTAAGGCAAATCATAGCACGCAATTGACGTTAAACATTCAGTACTTATCATCACGTATTACTGATCGTGTACATGCTTACAGACAGATTCGTTCGCTTATGTTTTCACGTTAGCTAGAGTATTATTTAATGAAACTTGTTCAAAGTTATTGTTTTTGATAAATAATCTAATTAAACAAACTTCAGTGTCACAGAATTTAGATACATTTTTTTGACGGGCACGTGTCAAATTAATTGTTTCATGTTTACGAACTTTCACGTGGTACTTTGAGGATGTATGCAAAATTTGGTTGAGTGAATTTGAACTGCATGAAAACTAAAGCTATTCTGTAAAGAGAAGTCGTTTCAGGCGGCGGGTGCTGCCGACTGGTCGCTTTCCTTCAGGCCTGCAGTTCAAATTTAGAGATGGCCATGATCTATGGACTGTCTCTTGTATGTATAAGATGTCGTTCGTGTGGACAAATAAACAAAAAAGCGACGCTGTAATGGTAATGAACTTGTAGAAGATTTTGCTTAACGAGCCTTCAAACCATACTATATTGGCGTAGTTTTTTTACCTTTATCGAACAATATACAGACGGTATTAAAGAACGAATGAATATCAACGAATATTAGATATTTAAACTAAATAGTTTAAGGATTCCTTTCTATGTTTATGAATTAGTCAATTAATTCGCTTTAAAAACGTTCAATGAATCTTAAGAAGTAAGTAGAAATAAACTAAGAAAGGTTCTTCGGTCTTATATAAAATGTATGTAACACGCGTGACTTTTTCTGGTAGTTTAGACTTTAGAGAATGTAATGGACAATGAATGTGTTTATTCCGTCCTTTAAAACATCACCACACCTCTCAAAATACTCTAGTTAATTAAATAAGCATGGATAATATCGCTAAAGCACTAAGCCACCTATACTCACTTGCCATTTAGTAGGACCTCTCCTTGGCCCGGCATGGCCAGGTGGTTAGGGCACTCGACTCGCAATTCTG